AGAATTTATGGCATCATTAGAGCAAATCATATAGTTTACCAAAAGAAAGAAAATAAAGGAATGTTTTCGGAGGGGCAAGAGAAAAGAGTTCTTAAATTTTCAGGGATCTGTGAATCTGAACTCTGTATTTTAAAAAAGACACATAGAATGAGAAATCATAGTGAAGGGATGATAATGTTTTATCAGTATCAGTAACATGTATCTCTAATTTCTTCTCAGTTGTATTCCATAAAGGGCTTAAACAGTTTACAAAATCACACACAACACATAGGATAAAATAAATAGATAGGACAAAATAAATGGACTAGAAAATCAACACAAAGGGAAAATAATTCGAAGCCAGGTGAATACATGAAAATACATAATGGAAGTACTATATAGTTGGTAGAGGCAGGCTTCAAACATGATTCTGAATTTCCCAGAAAAAGAAACATGGACTTATGGTGTCCACAAAATAAGCAATCACCAATTGATCGAGAGAACCATAGCTTTTATTGGCACTGAAACCAGGAGAAATTTCTTTCCAAGTCCTATCATGGGGACAGGATACTATGTGTATTATAGTAGCTAGTGTCCTCAATAAATAATTACTCTACAATGAATTCACAATCTAAATTTCCTAGACTGTTTCCTATCTGTTCCTTGGCACAATCTGATAAGAAATTATTAATTTAAAGTTTTAAAAAATGATGAATCAGCTCAAGATGATTTGGTCCAGATATATAGCACTCTGTTAATCTGACTTGATCCATATGCAAATTTAGAAAATCTAGAAGACTGGATGGACTATCTATCCTTCAGCCAGTGTTCCATTCATACTTGTCTTTTAATTGTTTTTTTATATATACATATTTTATTGATTTTTTACAGAGAGGAAGAGAGAGGGATAGAGAGCTAGAAACATCAATGAGAGAGAAACATCGACCAGCTGCCTCCTGCACACCCCTACTGGGGATGTGCCCGCAACCTAGGTACATGCCCTTGACCGGAATCGAACCTGGGACCTTTCAGTCTGCAGGCCGACGCTCTATCCACTGAGCCAAACCGGTTAGGGCTCTGTATCCAATGCTTATCAGAAACAACAGTTAAGCCCTAACCAATTCGGCTTAGTGGGTAGAGCGTTGGCCTGCGGACTGAAGGGTCCCAGGTTCGATTCCAGTCAAGGCCATGTACCTTGGTTGCGGGCACATCCCCTGTAGAGGTGTGCAGGAGGCAGCTGGTCGATGTTTCTCTCTCATCGATGTTTCTAACTCTCTATCCCTCTCCTTTCCTCTCTGTAAAAAATCAATAAAATATATTTTAAAAAAAGAAAGAATTGGATACAGAAAGCTTGAGGCTTTCTTCTCCAATAAGAACCTGGAATACAACCAGAACTAGTATAAAGTCATTAAGATACTAATGAAAATGATAGAGGAAAAGAGGGTTCTGAGGAGGACAGATCCTTGTTTTACTTAATTTAAAATTATCTGAAGGTCATCTTGAGGGATCCATGGAGTAAGGGGTCAAAATTCTTTGAGTTCTAGATTCAAATCAAGCCAAAATTAGTAATAAATGAAATATTCCATTCAACTTCATCACCTCAAACTCTGAGTCTTTTAGCTGTGAACTAGGACAACCTTCAGATCAACATCCTTTTTGTCATCTCTCCTCCTATGCGTCTGGAGAATTAAGTGATAGGACACCAACCCATTTTGTTACAGCAAATGAGTGTAGCCACAGGCACGAGTGACCCATTGCTACTATGTTTTATTGAATATGCATTCATTGGGCATGGATTATAGGCCAGTTTAATTTTCTAATACACACATATGGGTCTGAAATCTAAGTCTTAGAGTTTGGTTATGTTGACCTATTTATAACCTTGTGTTTGATTTTTGAAAATTAAACAAAAGAAACATTAGTTTCCTTTTTAGAGGGATTTTTAAAGTAATTATCTTAAGATTATTGCCAACAGTGATATAATAGGAAAGTGATTTGGTGGTGCTCAGTGTTTCCCAACTTCTATGTCCCTTGGACTATTGTTTATTTAATTTTTCTCCGTAGATTGAGTTTAAATTCTTAAACACATTACTTGAAAATAAAATTTATATTATTATTTTAAATGAAAGCCAGTGCAGTCATTTATAATAGAAAGTAAATATAATAATAAGTATATGAAAAACAAAATTTTAATATTCTAACAGGATGTTGAAGGCTCAGGCATATTTTATTTTTATTAGGAAATGAAATTAGCAAGATGTAGAGAGTTTTGTTTTTTATTTTTTTAAACATATTTTTACTTATTTTAGAGAGGAAGGAAGAGGAAGAGGGAGAGAGATAGAAACATCAATGATGAGAGAGAATCATTGATCGGCTGCCTCCTGCACTCCCCTCAGTGGGGATCGAGCCCGCAACCCCAAGATGTGCCCTGACCAGGAATCAAACTGTGACCTCCGAGTTCATAGGTCGACGCTCAACCACTGAGCTACGCTGACCAAGCAAGATGTAGAGAGTTTTAAAGAAAACCCAGCAACATATTGAAACTTTCTCCTTGATGCCATCAAGGTTGAGAGAATTAAAAAGGGATAGTTTTCCCACTGTCACTTATAGTAATGTGTTTAGCATTAAATAAACCTCCCAGATTTATTTCAGTTGCCACCTAAAATCATCTCATTGTCAAATTTTAGGAAATAGTAATTTAGTGTAAAAAGCACTATGTTTAGAATCATGTATAAATTGAAGGCCTTACTCTGAGGCTAATCAGTTAAATAACTTGAGCAGGTCATTTAGTTTCAGTTTTTTCTTTATCTAAAATAACCATAAAATATTATAGAGCATGTTGAAAACATATGGTGGGCTGTGGGTTTTTTTAAATCATCTCTCAAGAATATGTTTATCGATTTTAGAGAGAGAAGGAGAAGGAGAAGGAAAGAGAGAGAGAGAGAGAGAGAGAGAGAGAGAGAGAGGAGCATCTATGTGAGAGAAACATTAATTGGTTGTCTCCCCTATGTGCCTTGACCAGGAATCAAACCTGCAACCTAGGTATGTGCCCTGATCAGGAATCAAACTCAAGTTCTTTTGGTGTATGGGACTATGCTCCAACCAACTGAGCCACCAGGGCGAAAGCATATGGTTTTGATCAACCCTCACAATGACTCTATCGGGTAGTGATTATAGAACAAGAAACTAGTTCAGAGAAGTCAGGCTTCTGACTCCATATCCAAAGTTCGTCTCCTAGAATATGCTATACAATGGCAGTATTAAAGTATGTGATTTTTATGACTCTTCCATTTCTACAGGCTATGGCTCGAATTCAAACTTATCACTAGTTTAATGTATAATCTTCCAAATGAAGAATCATACTCCCTAAGATTAATTTGTTCAGTAAAACAGGTTGACAGATTTGTAATTCTGAATTTAGCCCAGTAGGTGGCACCCATCACATCCATGCTTCTAGTCCACAGTCAAGGTAATTCAGAAAATGCTGTGGGAGCGATTGGCCTTCTATTACCCTTGGGACAATATGTCAATTGAAACACACACACACACACACACACACACACACACCCCAAAACTTATTGATGTTTACTGCCATGCTCTGTGGTACTGAGGTGTATCATTGGCAGCCTTGATTAGACTGTATTAAACTTGGAATTCTGCTTCACAATTCTTATCTATTTTTCTACTCCCTCCTTTCCAAAAAATAGTCACTGCCCACTTCCTCCACAATCCCTATCTATCACTGTTTCTTTTTACCATTGATAAATTAAGCGATCGGGGCACTGAATTAAAAATCAGTTAGGCAATTGCAACAAGGTGTGGTGGTTTCTTGAAGGTTAAGTACTTAGCAGTGTTCCTGGGTCATTTTTCTTTTCCTCTAGTTCCAAAAGAATTGAATTTCACAAATCTGTCCTAAGGAAGGGGTGGAACGTAATTTTGGACCCATCTCCCAGTAAATCAAGGTACAGGACTTATTGTTCTAGGCATTTCCAAGTAGAGAGAGCACTTCTCTCACTGCT